GTAGAAGCCGCCGAACATTCAACTAGGAATCAGTGATTCACGATGCACGGACCATAAAATCGGGTATATACACCCCATAAAAATATCCGACCGATGCGTAGGAAAAGTGCACCTGGTGTCAGTGGCGTTTTATTTTCGATCGCGCGTCGCGCAGTTTGCGGGACATTATTCGAGATTAATCCCGGGCGCGTTGAAAATGCCGAGCGCATCACCGACCCGCGCTGTAATTTATTAATCCTCGCGCGCGCGAGTGAGCGAACGAAGCCATCTCTGTAAAAACATGCGGCGGTCGGCGCAATTGTAATTAAACGCAGATGTCCGCCCCTGCGAAGGTTACGGCCGAAACGGATAGAATTTCGTAAAATAAAAAAAAAATCCGCAAACGGTAAAAAGGATAGTTTTTGCAGGTGTTTTCACGATGAAAAACGTCGACAGCGTTTGACAGCGATTTGGAGATAACTCTTGGTTTCGAACATCTGTAGCGACGAGACGAATAGCTTTTTACATGAAATTTGTAAATGGTTAATTTCATTTCAGGTTGCGATAAAAGATATCTGGGCGTGCGAATACGAGCAATCACGCACATACGTGGCGGTAATTTATAACAGCGGCGACTGCGCTGTATCGAACTTTTTGCCGGGCACTACGCATGACATCCTAACGAACGATAATCCCGACTACGTTCTATCGGAGAGAAAGAGCCGTAATACACTTTGCGATTTACAGTCAAATGCGCCGCGTAAAATGGCAGTCGCTGTGTACGCGTAATAGTGTATGACTTATTAATCCCGATGCGGATCCGTAAACAAGCGCCGCTGCCATGCGTTTTAATTAAATGCAATCTCCGTTGAGCAAAATCGAGGACGCTCGGGGCCACAAAATGAGCGATCGCGAAAGACACGAAATAAATAACGCCAATTATACGTTACGCGCGAAGACTGATATGCACGTCGCTGTTCCACTTGTGTTTCAAGTATCGTCGAGTTAGATGAGGAGAGCATAAGTTGAAACGTGTTCGCGAACGAAGATCTCAGTCATCGATAGATATCGTGGAGATATCGAGAATACAAACGATTGAGAAAGTACAAACGACAGAGTAGAAATGGATATTTCGCGAAATGGTGAAACGAGGATCGTAAAATAAAAGCCCTTCGCTCTGTATTTTCGTGAAAGTTGATACTTCTTTATAAGGCGCTTCGCAGTGCTCTGTCATTTATTATTATATCCGCATTCTTTGATCGTCGACTATCCACCGATTGAAATTCAGCAGCGCTGGACGCAAAAGCGCGACGCATACATTAAACATCTCAGGAAGCGACGTGCACATTGCGACATAATTTTCCGTTCCGAGTAATTCGCGCCGCGGCGCGTCGTCGAATTACTCGACAAAGCGTACTTCGCGAGACGTCGATTAACTCGTGCGTCGGGGGACGCATTCAATTTTGCTGCATTAAATTACCAGCATAACTCGCTTAACTCGTACGCAATGATCCTCGCGACGGAACGGGTCGTGAAGGGATGGAGAATGCCTGGCGGCAGGTGGCGAGACTAATAGGACCTTTCTTAAGGTCGAGTTAAACCGGATCGGGATATGAAGTGCGGCAGCCATTTGAATGAGAAACTCGAATCGCTAATGGGAGAGGCACTTACGGTTATTATGTCACGTCGAACATGCGCTTTCTCCCGCCGGGCAATTAAGATGTGTGTGGCAAGTTGTTTTTTACAGTACTTCGATAAATCACAATACGTGTTTCCGACTAGACCGAAACCGCTCCTCGTCGAGCGACGGCGAACTTTCCGAGCAATTAGAGCAATTGGACATAACGGTTACCGCTGTTACCACGCTGGTGGCGTTATTCGCTCGCGAGCAACGAACCAACTACAAAACCACTCTCGAACCCGCTGTTTCTTGATTATCCCGTCAAATGCATCGACCGACACGATCCTGGTGCGTGCGCCCGGGAACGATTTTTGATATCGTAAACACCCACACGTGGCTCGCAGTGTGTGCATATTTTACGTGCGCACCGCGATATTAAGGAATTTCTAGCAAGCTTGCGTTAATAAGCGAGCAGGCTAACAAGCTGAATAAATAACGGCGCGATAAACTAGGTGAACGATAATCGGCGGCCGGATACGAATTAATATCCGTTGGTGCGTGAGAGTAATCAAATTTCTGCGAGACTGACTCTCAAAATATGTAAAACCCGTGCTGGTGCGCGCAGAACCGCAGCGCGGCAGCAAAAACGGCCGCGATAAACCGACTTTGCGTGAACTTATGCTCTTTTCCTCGTCGTTCATCCCCCATTCTATCGCTCTTTGCAAATTCGGCGAAGCGCGAACAACACAACCGCATGCGGAAACGATCAGTACGACGCGTACATGCTCGCGGAACTTTTTATCTGCCGGTCACGCAAAGGATTGAAAATGTCCGATGCGCTCGAAAGAGTTTTAAAAGGTTTAAAGCTGGTCGGCCAGTCCTCTCTCCTAGCTTTGATTGAAATCAGTTTGTCGCGATTTTATTACCCGGGTATGGCGGTCGCGCATTCGCGGTGCAGCGCGCCGCATCGACACAGCTTCGTCGCTGCGGATAAACCACCTCTTCACCCCTGCATTCGTCGCGGTAATAAAAGGCAGTCGGCTATATCTCGCGCCACGTCCAACTCGCGCGAACACGTGCGTCGAGCGGTATTTTAAGCGACGTTCACACTGTCGGGTAAAGTAACACGAATAGAGATTACGGGTGTTCGATCGAAAGCTATTTGTTGGAAAAGGATAACGGCGAGGAAATCGACGGGTTCGCGCTCTCATCGAGTTCGATAATCGTAGCCTTTGCGCTCGTGTTAGATGATAATGCGAAATCCTATAAAAAGTAAAAGCTCCTCTCCATTTTACGATGATTCGATTTTATTTACGCGTTATGTATAGCACGCTTCGTGATTGATATCAGATGTATAGCAACTTTCCGCGCCAAATATATGTATATCGTTTATCAAAGAAATCGATGCACTCCAATAAAATAATTCTAAATCCGTGATATTGGACTTTAAAACATTAATCTGTAATACTTAAGACACAAATTTTCGTAAATAAATGATTTTTGTGATATTATCATTTCTTTATCTCTTTAGTAACATAGTACATATAAAGTTTTGCATTGCAGTGCATTGATTTTTATAATTTTTATAATTAAAAGGTTGAAGGCACTCAAAAATATATATATAAAAAAATATACTAACTTGCTAATACCTTGCCCTTACAATCCGTTCGTTTTGTCGTTACTTGCCAAACACGATACATTTTCAACCTGAAATACATATTTGAAACAATGTAAATCTTTATTAAGAAATTTGATACAATTACAACAAAAAAAATTAAATATCACAAGTCAACACATACTAAATGCGAATATTATTAGAAAAGTTAATTAGAAAAGTTCATTATAACCTGTTAACAGATTAATTTATAAAAATTGTTCATTAATAATTGTATTTCTTGAACACATTGCAAACTGGTCGGAATAATAAATTGCAAGAATTATACAATATTACGTACCTTTATATAAATGGAGAATCTTGAAAGATATAATTTTGTCGCACAAAAGTTTGACCTTGAAGACACATTCGACTCACTAGAAAGCGTTTGTTTATCTCATCCAGTCTCGGGCAACATTCTTGACGTTTTCCTAGAAGTCACAGCTCGGATAATGTACGAAACGACATAAACATGATCAATTTTACGAATATACAAAGACTAATCATGAACATTAATGGACATTTCGCGACAACCCGCGCGCGACCGTAATTTGATTCTTACTCTAACATTTCCGAGATACATATAAAAAATTTGAAAGACTAAGCAACTTCATACCGACGCTTGATGATTTGATGAAAAATAACCGCCGCGACGCGGTAAAACGGACGTAGTCAATGGTAGATCTCAACAGACTGATAATCGTGATTGTATGTACTAATTACCTTTTCACGATGATTGCCCGTCGCTGGATTCTATATTCTCGATGTTTACTTGCGTATGGAATCCCTTTCGAGTGAGAAAACGCACGCAAAAGAAAGAACGGTGCTTACGACCTCCGACATCGCCGACATCATCCCGCCAAAAGATCGACAGTACTACCAACAAATCCCGCGGCGCTGCGATTATATGATGCGTTCCGAAAACACCGTAATTATGCACTCATCCGTAATAACTTCTTATGATTGGTGGATAACTTCTGATCCACCAATCAGATTTGATTATCAGAAATTCGTTAGAATTGATTGTTAAATCATTTTTAGAACGCTCTTATGAACATGACACAGCAAGATTGACGTCACAGTAACGTCGATTAGGAAAATGGTGATCGTGCTGGATATAAGTGAGTGAGTTCCATCGTTGGCTTTACACAACTCTCGCGAATTTTACAAGCGCAATATACTTTCGACGTGAAATATAATTTCAAAACAATCATTGTAAATGCGAAACAATTTTGTTAACCGACAAATTGCGACATCGCGCAAATGTCCGAGTGCAGAATTGCGAGTCAAAAAATGCTGAATGTGAATATCATTGGAAGAGCTAATTATCATCATTTGTTTGAATTATTCGGTCAATCAGCAATGTATTTGACACTCTCGATGCGTGATTACATGCTCGATGCATTTTCGAACGAATAAACAACGCGAAATATGACAATCGTCCGTAAAATCTAGCTCGACACTCGTCAATACATTATAAAAAGTTTAAAAAATAATTTCATGTTGATGATAAAAATGTGACGAGTAATGTTTACACGGCATGATCAATTTTGTCAAAAGTTAGATTATGGTTAAATCGCGGTTATATATCATGATTTAGTTTTTACGATGATCGCCCGCGGTTTGCCTCGATGCTAGCGACATTACCGAAATACGTTTAAAAAGATCGAAGTACTTCACTCCGATGCTTCAAGATTCGACACGGCCATTTTGTGAATGATTTTACTTTCATGCATTTCGAAAGACTGAAAATCGTAACAGTATGTGTTAGTTAACGTTTCGCGGCGATTGCTTATCACTGAATTGAACACTTGTTTGTTTCAACGAAGTCTACTTTAATCCAATTGTAAGAAAAATGCGAGAAAGGCGCATTTACTTATATCGTATTACATTTGTTATATGTAAACATATTGTAACACATTCGAATTAATATCTTATAGCTCGTTCGAAACCATCCTTCGGAGCTGCAGCACACGGAAAGCTGACATCACATTGACAACGAATAACGAAGCATCATATTACATCCTGACATCGTTTTCACCATTCTTCATCGTCTATGTCAGAAGCGTGGCCCTTTCTTAAACGGCAAAGACATCACTGCTACAACGTGTCGAGAGCTTTGTGTATTCTACAACAGTATTCTACTACATTCTACTACAAGTAAGTCATTAGTTTTAACAGCTTCTAAATTGATCGTTGCGAATAGACGTTAGTTTAACTTTAAAATGGATAATTCATAATACAATGAACAAAATTTCAAATATTTCATAATATTTAATATGTGATAAACACTTACTGCAAAAATCTGACATATTCTGCATAAATTATTAATTGAAATGAAGAAATAGTGTAGAGCAAATATATAAAAAATATATAAAATTTACAAGAGCATATAAATTTATGTAAAATTTACATAATTGTTAATTTTTACTTCTATTCGCAGCATTTCTTTTTATGGAAGTTCAAGTATTAGTGAATATTATTAAAACGATCGA